CCATCTTTTGAAAATACCCATATCTCTGTTTGTGGTTACTTTCGTGGAAAGTTAAAAAAAAAAAAAAATTAGAAGAGCCGCGGGGGGGGGGGGGGGGGGGGGGTTTGTTTCCGGTGGTGGGTGGGTGTTTGGGGTTTGTTGGATTGTCTGCTTCTTTAGCTTATTCTGGATAATAGTTTGTGATATATATCGTGATTTTGGTGATGCTATGTTGTGAATTGTATTTCTGGTAAATTTGTTACTCTTCATGGGATTTATCTGGTTTTTTTGGTCTGGGGGGCGCTAATTGATTCATTAAGGTTACACTTTGTTGGAGGAATGTCATCATGAGATTTTATTTTGTATGGTTTTATATTCTAGAATTGTGGCAGTCTCTTGCACACCGTTTTAAACAGTGGTATCGGGAGACAAATCGGTATGAATCACGGTGTATGATATTGGGATTGTTGGGTGACATCTATCAGGAATTGGGTGCATGGTAATATTATTCAAATTAATTACTACTCCTCTCAAACTTTGTACATAAATTTAATTTGTTATGTTTTAATTAGTATATGGAAATGTAGAATCAGTTTTACTTATGATTTATAAAAGAAAATTACAAGCCAAATCAATTTGTCACGCTTTAATATATGTGGTGGTGAGTTAATGAATACAATTTAGTCAAATGAATCCGACATTGCCTGCATAAAAAGCCTTATGGAATTCGTCAAACTATAAAAGCAAGCTTTATGCATTGTTTTGAAAGGCAATGCTTTGAATCCCACATTGGTCAGAGAGTGAGCGAGGAGGCATTCCACCAATGTACAAAAGAAAGCCTTAGGATTCTTCAACAAATCAATGTTTGTTGTATCCTTGTTGATATGTGTGGAACATATGGTGTCACTACTCATAGATTTAGCGATAAAGTTCGTTTTTTTTTTTTTAATCCATGCCACATATTCATAGTTTATGTGCTAATGGAATTTCAAGAGTTAAATTTTTGGAACACGAAAACTTATTCAAGTGTTGACTGAACTGGATCAGTTTACAGAGACTTAGTAATTTATCCAGATCAAACCGGTTCGTGAGACAAACCGGTCAGTTCTTACTTAAGGAATTGGTAGTCACACTAGTATACCAGTGAGTATCTAAATTGGGAGGCCAAAACATAGAAGTGCCCATGTAGACTATGCTTGTAGTGGTCACTTTTGAAGCATCTCCAGAAAGACATTACTGGAGGCTTTGCGTGTCTTGCTGGTAATCTTGATTAGATTGCTAGCATAAAATCTACACGGTACTTTGGGTGTAGCATAAAATCTACACCCAAGAATTTGACCCTTGCTTCAATTTGTGTTGCACGGACTCTTCTACTTCCTCGTTACCTTGTGTCACTGTATGTGAATGACAAGGGTAATGTGGGATTTTGTGTCAAACACCCATACCCAATTTGGGTTCTCTAATATATCAACTTCTTATCTAAAAATATTATATAATATGCACATATGCAAGTGTTTAATATGTGTCCCCATACTTAAACTTTTTTTATGCATATCCTAATATCCTAGGATTTAGGGTTAGGAAGATTTGTCTCTTGGACATGCACTTGCAGCCACACCAATACTTGTATCAAAGTCCATATAACATAAGGATTCAATCCTAATGGGATCAAAAAATTATAATGTGGATCAAAACATGGTAATGACACCCGTTTTTTGTTTAACCCTGTGAAACATGTAATAATGTGCTCCACCAAGAATGAAAAAGATAGATCATTATATGAAATTTATTGATGTTTACTATCTGTTACATTAATGAATCAAGGGTATCTACACTGTGGACTTAGAAATTCTAGAAATTTTTTTTTAAGAGGCAAATCACGTCACTGCTTCTATTAATTGCACTTTCCTCTAGGAGGAAAGCTTTTCTCTCTTCATTCTTTTTCTTAATTTCTCTTGGTTTAGTATTCTTTTATTTGATTGGAAGGAGTAAAATATTTTGTTCCCTATCCTTATATGTATATTGCCCATTCATTTGTTGTTATTTTTTTTGCTTTACTACATGTCAGAGAGGAGGCAGGCGGAGTCTGCTCGCATCAGAGAGAAGTATCCTGATAGAATACCAGTAAGATGACTTTTTCTTTTAAGTTAAGAGTAGTGAATGCCGCAGGCAATTTATTGCTTTGATGATGTTTTTCTCTTACAATTTATTTTTCATGTAGGTAATTGTGGAGAAGGCTGAAAAGAGTGACATTCCTGACATTGATAAGAAGAAGTATGTTACATTATTCTTCTTTCGTAACCTCTTTTGTGATCATTACCTGGAAGTAATGTTATTGTTCATTATTTTTTATTTTTGTTCAAGTTATTATTCAGCATCTTTCTGTTTTTTGGTTTCCATATACCAATATTGGTTTTGCCTTCTATATATTGATTACTTATCGCAGAAACTTTCGACTCCAGATTATTATATTTTAACATTTACAACTAGGAAGTAGTCGTTCATAGAATTACATTGGTATTCTTTGATTTTTATTTCAAATTCAAATCTATGTCATATCGGTGCTACATTCTTGGCTGCATATTATAGCCCTTTCTTCTCTGTCCAGAATTTGATGAATACTGGTAGAATGCTTGTGCTTTATTCAAGCATGCGTTGACCATTGCTAGAAAACATTGTGTAATTAGCTGCATATTTCTACTTAACGACGATTGTGTCAGTACAAAAATAATCTTGGAAGGTTTCAATAGTGTATTCGTGGAAGTTGCATCTAGTGGGAGAAGATTGTTGTGGCATTATTACTGAATAGTGATGAAGGTCAAACTAGGTGAACTAGTGGTGGGTGGTAGGTGAGGCAGTTGAAGGTGTGAAGCTCCTCTCTCTCTCTCTCTCTCTCATGACGGTTTGAGCTTGTCCAAGTATCCTCGAGATTTTTAAGTTACTGCTCTTATGTACATGAAACATCATTCATTCTTTCTAGGCAAATGGAAGATGTTAAAAAGCTATTTCTTAACTGATCTGCATTCTGTTTTGTAGAGACAAACATAAATAAAGTGATTCAGGATGAAATTGTTTAGAGGGTTGGTCGATAAATTAGTCTTCTTTCTTCTGTAACATTTTTCGGTGTGTATCAACAACTTTTTTTTTTTGTTTTGCCATATGATAGGATGTTAGGGGGTTTGTAAGTTAGATTACAATAAAAGGGTCGCAGTTGCTCCATCAACTCAGTACGCTGAACCTCTAACCTTCTCACTGTCCCAAAGGAACAGCTACATGGACCACTCCACTGGGCCAACTGCCCTGTCCATATGAGCAACTGTTACTACATGCTAAATATACATGTTTTTAGATGTTGAAACAGCTATTTATTTTACTGGTAATATTTACCTGATTCAGGATCCCGGAACGCTTGTCCATGCTTGCGATGCAATACTTCTTTAGTATTTGTTTCATCATGTTCATGTGTATTCTTGCTTTTAACCAATATGTTGATGGAGAAGAGTTGTTGGTTGAATGATTCAGGCGGTAAATGTACTTGTACCACTTTTTTGTCATGAATGCAGATATCTTGTCCCTGCTGATTTGACTGTCGGGCAGTTTGTTTACGTTGTTCGGAAGAGGATTAAGCTCAGTGCTGAGAAGGCTATTTTCGTCTTTGTCAAGAACACGCTCCTCCCACAGGTAAGGGGATTTCTAATCTCTTTGAATATCTTGGTAGTGTTGTCCCTGCTGATTCAAAAGTTGGGAAGTTTGTTCATAAGTTGCTTTTGTAATGTATCTTCTGTTGCTACAGCCGCCTTGATGTCTGCAATTTATGAGGAAAACAAGGATGAAGATGGGTTTCTTTACATGATTTACAGCGGTGAGAACACATTTGGCTCCCTCTAAAAATCCCGAACTGATGACAATTTTTTGTAAATAAAACTCCTCCCAAGTGTAAATTCTCAGCTGTCACTTTTTTAGGCCAACGGTGTCTGACCATTTACCCTACTCTTACTCTGGATGAATGGTGTTAACTTTGATGCCAAATGGATTTGATTATAAGTGGTTTGCTCTTACAGTTTGGATTTGAATGGATGAAATTGCATTTTAAGTAATGTGCCGATTTGTTTTTTGTTTTACTTGGATGTTGAAGATTTTTGTTAGGTAGAATTGATTTTCATTTGTTCTCTGTTGCTTCTGATGTAAAGTTTGTTCTCTGCATATCTGGTAATGATACTGGAATGTGTTCTTTTCTTATTTTTGAAGCAAAAACATTTGATATGTTGTTTTCTGGAGAGAGTATTGGAATATTCTCTCTCCCCAAATCAAGGAAAATATTGACGAGTTTGCAATCACGACTCATGCTTGTTTCGATTCTCTACAATTTCCTTATTTTCAAATACATTCATATATATATATATATATATATGTATGTATGTTGTATAAATTGTGTAATAACATAAAACAAATAGATTCATACTCGTTAATTGAAATTTCAGAACAAGTAAACCATTATGAAAATTACAATACATAACAAAATAAAATAACATAGAAAAGCAAATCGAAACCTACACTGGACAGTGTTTTTAATTTTTTAAATAAATTTAATCTGTAACACTTGATTGATTAAAACTTATTTTGGAAATTGGTTAAAAATTTATTTTTTAATTTTTTTAAAATTATATAAATTTTTTTTTAAAAAATAGTGTAAAATCAAAAAGGGGATGCACTAATAAATCCCAAATTAATAACTTATACACTATTTAGTCTTAAAAGTTTTCTTATAGACTGAAAGGTCCCATTACAATATTTCGAACATTAGATTTCGAACATCAAATTAATGTTTCGAACATTAGATTTCGAACATCAGATTAATGTTTCAAACATTAAATTGATGTACAAATGAGACTAAATGAAGCATAAAAAAATTTTTAGGACTAAATGATTCAACTTTTCAAAAACTAAGACTTATGCATAAATTTTCCAATCAAAAAATGACTTTTAGCCACCTTCGGCCTAATAACAAATCGAACGCCGATGTTGTACAAGTCTGCTTCTCCGTTGTCTTTACGTAAACGAATCGAATCGAAAAACGATCGCTTTGGATGACATTCCTTGTGGAATAGAGGAAACCCAAACTTTCTCTCTTCTCTGTCGTGTTCGACTCAAAAAACCTAAACACCTCTCCTTCATTTTCAATTGAATATTGACAGTATTGACAATCACTCAATTCTTCTCTCTCTCTCTCACTCTCTCTATTGATTTTGACTGCTTTTGGATCAATCAGACACAGTCTGCGTAACCCAATTCTTGAATTCGATTTCCTTTCTGTTTCGTCTTTGGTAATTGTTTCTATTCTACAAAGAAACTCTTTCACGTTTTGGGCTTTTTGGGGTTGTTGTAATGTTGTTTCGTTGTTTGAAATTCGCAGAGACCAATCGGAGTAGCGCGAGTCTTGCCATGGCCAAAAGCTCCTTCAAGCTCGAACACCCCCTGGGTATCTTCTTTTTTCTCTTTTCTATCTACCCATCTTTTTGAAAATACCCATATCTCTGTTTGTGGTTGCTTTCTTGGAAAAGCTAAAAAAAAAAAAAAATTTAGAAGAGCAAAAAGTCTAACACATATGATTATTATCAAAATATTATATTTTAATATAATATAAAAAAGGAAAAAAAGAAGACATTTAAAAGAATGGATTGTCTGCTTCTTTAGCTTATTCTGGATAATAGTTGTGATATATATCGGTGATTTTGGTGATGCTATTATGACTTGTATGTTGGAATTGTATTTCTGGTAAATTTGTTACTCTTCATGGGATTTATCTGGTTTTTTTGGTCTGGGGGGCGCTAATTGATTCATTAAGGTTACACTTTGTTGGAGTAATGTCATCATGAGATTTTATTTTGTATGGTTTTATATTCTAGAATTGTGGCAGTCTCTTGCACACCGTTTTAAATAGTGGTATCGGGAGACAAATCGGTATGAATCACAGTGTAATGATATTGGGATTGTTGGGTGACATCTATCAGGAATTGGGTGACATGGTTGTAAAATTTTCAAAATTATTTACTACTCCTCTCAAACTTTGTACATAAATTTAATTTGTTATGTTTTAATTAGTATATGGAAATGTAGAATCAGTTTTTACTTATTGGATTTATAAAAGAAAATTACAAGCCAAATCAATTTGTCACGCTTTAATATATGTGGTGGTGAGTTAATGAATACAATTTAGTCAAATGAATCCGACATTGCCTGCATAAAAAGCCTTATGGAATTCGTCAAACTATAAAAGCAAGCTTTATGCATTGTTTTGAAAGGCAATGCTTTGAATCCCACATTGGTCAGAGAGTGAGCGAGGAGGCATTCCACCATGTACAAAAGAAAGCCTTGGGATTCTTCAACAAATCAATGTTCTTGGTATCCTTGTTGATATGTGTGGAACATATGGTGTGCACTACTCATAGATTTAGCGATAAAGTTCGTTTTTTTTTTTTTTATCCATGCCACATATTCATAGTTTATGTGCTAATGGAATTTCAAGAGTTAAATTTTTGGAACACGAAAACTTATTCAAGTGTTGACTGAACTGGATCAGTTTACTAGAGACTTAGTAATTTATCCAGATCAAACCAGTTCGTGAGACAAACCGGTCAGTTCTTACTTAAGGAATTGGTAGTCACACTAGTATACCAGTGAGAATCTAAATTGGGAGGCCAAAAACATAGAAGTGCCCATGTAGACTATGCTTGTAGTGGTCACTTTTGAAGCATCTCCAGAAAGACATTACTGGAGGCTTTGCGTGTCTTGCTGGTAATCTTGATTAGATTGCTAGCATAAAATCTACACGGTACTTTGGGTGTAGCATAAAATCTACACCCAAGAATTTTGACCCTTGCTTCAATTTGTGTTGCACGGACTCTTCTACTTCGCTCAGTATACCTTGTGTCACTGTATGTGAATGACAAGGGTAATGTGGGATTTGTGTCAAACACCCATACCCAATTTAGATACTTGGGTTCTCTAATAATATTCAACTTCTTATCTAAAAATATTATATAATATGCAACATATGCAAGTGTTTAATGTGTCCCCATACTTAAACTTTTTTTATGCATATCCTAATATCCTAGGATTTAGGGTTAGGAAGATTTGTCTCTTGGACATGCACTTGCAGCCACACCCAATACTTGTATCAAAGTCCATATAACATAAGGATTCAATCCTAATGGGATCAAAAAATTATAATGTGGATCAAACAGTGGTAATGACACCCCGTTTTTTGTTTAACCTGTGAAACATGTAATAATGTGCTCCACCAAGAATGAAAAAGAATAGATCATTATATGAAATTTATTGATGTTTACTATCTGTTACATTAATGAATCAAGGGGTATCTACACTGTGGACTTAGAAATTCTAGAAATTATTTTTTAAGAGGCAAATCACGTCACTGCTTCTATTAATTGCACTTTCCTCTACGAGGAAAGCTTTCTTCTCTTCATTCTTTTTTCTTAATTTCTCTTGGTTTAGTATGTTCTTTTATTTGATTGGAAGGAGTAAAATATTTTGTTCCCTATCCTTATATGTATATTGCCCATTCATTTGTTGTTATTTTTTTTGCTTTACTACATGTCAGAGAGGAGGCAGGCGGAGTCTGCTCGCATCAGAGAGAAGTATCCCGATAGAATACCAGTAAGATGACTTTTTCTTTTAAGTTAAGAGTAGTGAATGCCGCAGGCAATTTATTGCTTTGATGATGTTTTTCTCTTACAATTTATTTTTCCATGTAGGTAATTGTGGAGAAGGCTGAAAAGAGTGACATTCCTGACATTGATAAGAAGAAGTATGTTACATTATTCTTCTTTCGTAACCTCTTTTGTGATCATTACCTGGAAGTAAATGTTATTGTTCATTATTTTTTATTTTTGTTCAAGTTATTATTCAGCATCTTTCTGTTTTTTGGTTTCCATATACCAATATTGGTTTTGCCTTCTATATATTGATTACTTATCGCAGAAACTTTCGACTCCAGATTATTATATTTTAACATTTACAACTAGGAAGTAGTCGTTCATAGAATTACATTGGTATTCTTTGATTTTTATTTCAAATTCAAATCTATGTCATAGTCGGTGCTACATTCTTGGCTGCATATTATAGCCCTTTCTTCTCTGTCCAGAATTTGATGAATACTGGTAGAATGCTTGTGCTTTATTCAAGCATGCGTTGACCATTGCTAGAAAACATTGTGTAATTAGCTGCATATTTCTACTTAACGACGATTGTGTCAGTACAAAATAAATCTTGGAAGGTTTCAATAGTGTATTCGTGGAAGTTGCATCTAGTGGGAGAAGATTGGTGTGGCATTATTACTGAATAGTGATGAAGGTCAAACTAGGTGAACTAGTGGTGGGTGGTAGGTGAGGCAGTTGAAGGTGTGAAGCTCTCTCTCTCTCTCTCTCTCTCTCATGACGGTTTGAGCTTGTCCAAGTATCCTTGAGATTTTTAAGTTACTGCTCTTATGTACATGAAACATCATTCATTCTTTCTAGGCAAATGGAAGATGTTAAAAAGCTATTTCTTAACTGATCTGCATTCTGTTTTGTAGAGACAAACATAAATAAAGTGATTCAGGATGAAATTGTTTAGAGGGTTGGTCGATAAATTAGTCTTCTTTCTTCTGTAACATTTTTCGGTGTGTATGAACAACTTTTTTTTTTTGTTTTGCCATACGATAGGATGTTAGGGGGTTTGTAAGTTAGATTACAATAAAGGGGTCGCAGTTGCTCCATCAACTCATACGCTGAACCTCTAACCTTCTCACTGTCCCAAGGAACAGCTACATGGACCACCCCACTGGGCCAACTGCCCTGTCCATATGAGCAACTGTTACTACATGCTAAATATACATGTTTTTAGATGTTGAAACAGCTATTTATTTTACTGGTAATATTTACCTGATTCAGGATCCCGGAACGCTTGTCCATGCTTGCGATGCAATACTTCTTTAGTATTTGTTTCATCATGTTCATGTGTATTCTTGCTTTTAACAATATGTTGATGGAGAAGAGTTGTTGGTTGAATGATTCAGGCGGTAAATGTACTTGTACCACTTTTTTGTCATGAATGCAGATATCTTGTCCCTGCTGATTTGACTGTCGGGCAGTTTGTTTACGTTGTTCGGAAGAGGATTAAGCTCAGTGCTGAGAAGGCTATTTTCGTCTTTGTCAAGAACACGCTCCCTCCCACAGGTAAGGGGATTTCTAATCTCTTTGAATATCTTGGTAGTGTTGTCCCTGCTGATTCAAAAGTTGGGAAGTTTGTTCATAAGTTGCTTTTGTAATGTATCTTCTGTTGCTACAGCCGCCTTGATGTCTGCAATTTATGAGGAAAACAAGGATGAAGATGGGTTTCTTTACATGATTTACAGCGGTGAGAACACATTTGGCTCCCTCTAAAAATCGCGAACTGATGACAATTTTTTGTAAATAAAACTCCTCCCAAGTGTAAATTCTCAGCTGTCACTTTTTTAGGCCAACGGTGTCTGACCATTTACCCTACTCTTACTCTGGATGAATGGTGTTAACTTTGATGCCAAATGGATTTGATTATAAGTGGTTTGCTCTTACAGTTTGGATTTGAATGGATGAAATTGCATTTTAAGTAATGTGCCGATTTGTTTTTGTGTTTTACTTGGATGTTGAAGATTTTTGTTAGGTAGAATTGATTTTCATTTGTTCTCTGTTGCTTCTGATGTAAAGTTTGTTCTCTGCATATCTGGTAATGATACTGGAATGTGTTCTTTTCTTATTTTTGAAGCAAAAACATTTGATATGTTGTTTTCTGGAGAGAGTATTGGAATATTCTCTCTCCCCAAATCAAGGAAAATATTGACGAGTTGCTGGGTGTAAGTTATTAAAGGGTGACTTCCAATTTTTGGAGAAATTCTGCTTGTTATTGTTTTTGTCTTCTTTGTTTTCATTTTTCGAAAATAGAAACAATGAGAAGTCTAGAAAATACCATCGTTTTCATTTTTGTGCGAAAATAGAATTGTAAATTCAATAACTTCTTATATTTTTTAAAAGGAAAAATATGCCGCGTGCATCTGTGAAAAAGTATCTTGTAAGAAAGTTATGATTTTTTATGATAAAAGTTATGAATGTTTGGTTTTTGTTATGACATTTTGGAGTTACAAAAGATGTGGCATTTTTTGTAGCTTTGTTATGGTATTTTGGGTAAAAAAATTATTGTTTATGTTACGAAATGTCGTAAAAAGTTATGAAGGTCCTATGATATGCACTCTTCCAGGAATGCATATTGTAGCCTCTCCCAACAGCAAAATATGTAATTGTACGACACAAGCTTTGTTTGGGATTAGCTTTTTAACTTTTTTAAAAAGGTAAAAAAACTAATAGTGTTTGAAAATTTGCAACGATTAGTTGCATTTTTACGAGTAAAATTGATGTGACATTTGATTTTCTTTTTGACTATTTTAGTCCAAAAAAAAAATTACCTTTTTCAATTCCCGAAGGAGGCCATGAGGATAATCTTCTTTTGAGGTTTTAATGTTATCTGATTAAGTTAGTGTTTTTAAATTTCTAACCCCTATTATTTGATTTAGTGTTTTTAAAACACAGTTTGTAAAAAGTTGAACCATTTTTCCTACTCAAAAAATCAAATATTTGCAAAAACATGTTTGCGATGAGATACATTCATACGCATGGATCATTTGAGGCTGAAGGAATACAAATTTGTCATACAAAAGATACAAAAACATATAAAGAATAGTCCATAAAATACAAAACAACAACTAGCATTATTCATTTGAGGGTGTTTTTTTCTTCTGGCATTGGTTCTTGATCCATTTGATGCCATTGCATGTCCCACTCTTCACCTTTTGTGCCCCTGCCATGGCCACTGCTTTGGCTTTTCCGAGTCCTGCAGAAGAGCCCGTCTTTTTGTCGCTGCCCTTGTCTCCGTTGGCCTTCTTGTTATCTTCTCCTTCCATAGCACCGATGCCTCCTGCTCCCCATTGATCCGCCCAGCTCGGTGCCTCAGTTGCCATGCTTCCTTCCTTTCTTCACTCTTTATTCAATTGCTGCACCGATATTTGTACAGATAAAATCTTTAGTCTAACAACGAATTTTATAAAACACAAGCAAATTAATTAATCGTTCAATGAAAATTCTGAATTTGCTTTTTTGTTGGCAATCCTAAGATAAATAGGCTTATATGTTTGTTTCTTTCAAATCTCCTTATTGAAAGGGCTGCTTTGGATAAAATATGATCCAATTGAACAAGAAACCAATCTAATCTCTGTCCAAAATATGATATGATGAACAATATAGAGAAATGCAAGAATCAGCTTAAAGATCATGGAAACATTTGCTATTAAAACATCAAGAACAATCTGTGAGAGAGAGAGAGAGAGAGTACCTGGCTGTGAGTACTCAACTTGACAGATAGCTGTGCATTTGGGTTTGGTGACGGAGAAACTTAAGAAGAAAACATGTTAAAAAGAGAGTAAATAGAAAATAATCTAGAGATGAAAGCTGTTTAATCAAAGGTTGTGGCATGTGGGATAGGCTGTCCTTTATCCTTGTTTTCCACTTTCTTAAAAGGACATGCCAACTCACTTGTTTACCAACTCCCCAAGCAAAACTTTGTTCCCATTTTTTTTGTTTCTTTTATTATTTTCAATATATATAAACAAAATACTCTGTTTCTTTAGTAGTTAAACTGCCAATTATGGATCTTCACCTGAAAATGAGTAGCCGTTCCTCAAGCCCGGGGCATCTCGCCCCCCACCCGCTTCCAACTAAAACAATCACTTGGCTAGGGTCTGGAATTCGTAGAATTTGGGGTTCCAATTTCGAATTAAAGAACTCTTAAGTCCTTTATCAAAACATAAAAGGTCTGAACAAAAAAAGAGTTGAGACGTGAGAAAAATGAAGGGAGAGGGTAGATAGTTGTTTTCTAAGGTAGAATGATCTATACCTTTCAAGCTTGAATGGATAATTGTGAATTTTCCAACTAAATTTAGTGAATCCAAATTTGGGATGGTTGATGATATGCTCTTATTCCAAGTAAATTTTTATTTTTATTTTTCAAATGGGTTGGTGAGTATTAGGTTTATTTGATTGATTAATTTTGTTAATTTAATTGACTAATATGCTTTGTGATTGTGAGTATAGGTTCTCATGATATTGACTTTAAATTGCTAATATCATCATCATCATAGTATGTGGATGTAGAACATAATTTTGGTCTTTTCCTTTTTGATGACTCGGAGTTGTTTGGGATGATTCAAATAAGTGTACTTTTTAAATTTTTACAAAAAAAAATGTACAGAAAAGCAGAAAAGTGATGTGACTCAAAAAAAGACAAAAAGATATATAAGTGCATTTTTTAGTGTACGCCAAACAATTAGTATTTTCACAAATTCTTTGTAGGGGTTTATTGAGGTTGCGTTAAACGAAGTTAGGTTGTCCCTTTGAACCTTTCTTTAACCTAATCGAGTGGTGGAGAGGGATCCCATGACAAGGTAATGGATAATTGAATAAAAAGATCTCCTGTCTTATCCTCTATTCCAATTTTCTCCTATTCTCTTGTCTCAAATAACTTTTCTACCACATACTAGATGTCTCTGGCCTCTTGTAAGATGGAGATGAGCAGAGACGAGAGGATTGGGAATATTTGAATGGGTACCAGTAGGAACCCCTTCAATATACACCCTTGTATATCATATGCACTTTATTATGTATTTTTCTAATACATGTTATGTATTTTTATGACAAATGTTACGTAATCTTTTAGTAAAATTAAAAATGCGTAACATTTACCAAAAAATAAAAATAAAAATGTAATAAGGGTCCTATACTGAAGACATTTCCCCACTGGGTTGAGTAAATATTAACTACTAGTGTGGAGATATACCGTAGGAAATAACCAACTCAACATGTCCATTCTTCCATTTTTGTGTGCCTTTCACAATTATTTACTTCAATTCAAAAACCAGGCTTAAGTAGTCTTCTTGCTCTTCTTTTCAACACCATATTTACTTGATGATAATTTTGTTTTTTCTTTGAAATGTAGTTGGCACCAATGAGGGATCAATTAAATATAATTGACATTATAGAGTACCAATTTACTACAGAACTAGTTGCATATGATGTGGTTTCAACTATACCATGTTATTTGTCACAAATGTTGGAAAAATGGTTTGTGAAACCATGACGTTAGGCCACCTTTGAGCCTAAATTGAGATGGCCTTCGAACACCAATTGAGATGTGTCCGAGTGGAAACGCATTCTTTGCCAAGTGGTGATTCACTTCGTATATATGGTTGTTCAAACCATTTTCCAAGTGAATGCGAAATTGACTCCGAAAGAGGTTTCGGCAACACAGTAGTTGAACGAATTCAAATTGAATTGGTCTCTAGTTTCCTCTAGAAACTCCGAAGTGTTCTAATGGAAATTCAATTTCAATTGTGATTTGGTTTCTCCTCATAGGGGCATCTATCAAATTCTTGATGGAGGTTCACTCGGTGAAGGTCGATTTTGTTGGGAAAAACTACTCACATTACATAATTTCACATTGCATATCGCAAAATTATGAGACGAACAAAACAAACCTTCAATCACAGGAAAAATAACATGCTGAATAAAATACAGATAAAATATAAAATGGTTAAAGGAAGCAAACCGAAGCCTGTGTGATACCACAGTCTCCTTAAAATAGATTCGCCGCCTCACCGTTGGGTGCTGGAGGTACGCCGGCATCTACTTCCCAAGATACGACGGTTTTTACCAGCTACAACAGAAGCACCTTCTGATTAGCTTAGCGAACGGACAACGGCAGCACTCTCTCTCAGGAAGAAAATTATAGGAGAAGTAGACTGACAGTGTATAGATGTCAAGGAAAAATTCTATATCTCTTTTCAAGGAATAGGACCTCCTTTTATACACCATGGGGGAGAGGGGAAGAGCCTCTAGCCATCAAGGCTGACAACTAATGCTAGCAAAACTGCCCAATCAATTTTGTAAAACTGATGAGCCTTAAATGTGTGAGTTATATACACATTTATGAGGCAATTTCTTATTCAACCATTTTTCTCCAACAATCCCCCACATGAATAAAAATTGACCGAATACAGCAAATGCTCAACGTTTATCAACAAAGGCTCGGAAAGAGAGAGAGCACATAGACTAACCCTACATCAAAAAAGGTAGCTGTTGGCCTTGAACCTTTCGTAGTGAAAGCCTATCGGATTTACTGGCTGACCAGTGAACGTGATGTCTTGAACTGTTCTGCCGTTTATGTAAACCGAGACAATAGACCTCACACAGGAGTTAGTCTAACCATTGTTCTTGTTCTCACTGGTGTCTCCGGTATGGCCCGGGAACACTAGCCTGGTTCTGTGAGTGTTTTTAAAGAAATCGGCCTTGGCAATTCTTAAAGAAGCGGCCCCACTTCGCACTCACATAGGTGACCTAGATACGGTATTTCATTATACCACATCACTAAGGTCATTAAAAGCATTAGCTTAACCTTCCACCCCCACAGGGCATCACTGTATAAAGGAATGGGCAAGAGGATTTACCTCTTCAGTGACTCACCCGTTAAACGAAGTTAGGTTGTCCCTTTGAACCTAGATCTTGGGATCTCCAGTCAACTAGGTTGGGTTTTCCTTTCCGGTAACCTTTACTAAAGGCCTTAACCCCATTCCTCTTGAAGACTTTTCTACTAACTCTTGAGTTAACCCTTTGGTTAGCGGATTCGCAATGTTGTCCTTAGACTTGACATAGTCTAGAGAGACAACTCCATTTGAGAGTAGTTGTCGTATGGAATTATGTCTACGATGGATATGTCTAGACTTTCCATTATACATATTACTCTGTGCCCGACCAATCGCTGATTGGCTATCGCAATGAATACTGATAGCTGGCACAGGTTTCGACCAATGTGAAATATCCTCAACAAACTGGCGAAGCCATTCAACGTCTTCAGTTGCTTTATCTAAAGCAATAAACTCAGATTCCATCGTTGATCTCGAGATACACGTTTGTTTGGCAGATTTCCAAGACACGGCTGCCCCTCCGAGGGTAAACACATAACCACTAGTAGATTTGGAATCTTTTATATCAGATATCCAATTTGCGTCACTATACCCTTCTAGTACCGCTGGGTATCTGGTATAATGCAGCCCATAATCCAGGGTGTAACGGATATTCCCCAACACCCGCATAATGCCATTCCAATGAGTAGCATTAGGATTACTCGTGTGTCTACTCAGCCTACTAACAGCGTAGGCGATATCCGGCCTTGTACAACTCATCAGATACATCAAACACCCAATGACCCGAGAATATTCTAGTTGAGAGACACTCTCACCATTATTCTTGGTCAAATATAGACTTAAGTCTATCGGTGTCCTAAACATACTTGTATCTGACTTTCCAAATTTCTCAAGTATCTTATTGACATAATGAGCTTAAGAAAGTACAATACCACCAGATGTTCTGGTGATCTTAACACCCAAAATGGCATCTGCATATCCTTCATGTCAAACTTAGAGTTTAACAATTTTTTGGTAGCTTTAATCATTTCATCATTGCTACCAACAATGAGTATGTCATCAACGTATAGACACAAAATGACATAACCTTTATCAGTGTCTTTAACATATACGCACTTATCACACTCATTGATTCAAAACTCATTTGACAACATAGCATTGTCAAACTTCTCATGCCATTGTTTGGGAGCTTGCTTCAAACCATACAATGACTTGACAAGCTTACAGACTTTCTTACTTTGTCCTGGAGCTGAAAACCCCTCGGGTTGCTCCATGTAGATTTCTTCATCTAAAATCTCCAATTTTAAGAAAGCTGTCTTTTAACAATCCATTTCTGAATGTATTTCTAAACCACGTAAAGCTGGCTATTGCAAATCACCATGCGAATGGATGTAATCCTTGTCACAGGTGAATACCTATCAAAGTATTCCAAGCCTTCTCGCTGTCTGTATCCTTTGATAACTAGCCGAGCTTTAATATTTGGTCAATTGACCCATCCGCTTTCATCTTTTTTTTCGAAAAGATCCACTTACTCCCCAAAGGCCTTACTGGCCTGGGGGTAGATTCAACCAACTCCCAGTATGGTTCTGTAAGATGGAGTCAATCTCACTCTTAATTGGCTTCTTTCTAAAGGTACTTTCAGGTGAAGTCCACAGCTTCATGGAACGTTCGAGGTTCTCCCTCTAACATATAAGTCAAGAAGTCTGGACCAAAAGCCTTGTGGTTTCTAGCCCTTTACTCCTTCTTGGCTCATTACTTCATCAGCTTGATCATCTACTTGATCAGTTATTTGATCAATTTCTGGCTTTTGATCATCCGATGGAATCTCTATGTGATCGTCCTTCGTGATCATCTATTTCTTTCATGGAACTCGGAACCCTATCTTGGGGACGACACGGAAATACATCTTCAAAGAAAGATGCACTTCTAGATTCCATGATAGTATTCTTGTGTATATCTGAAATATCAGACTTGTGCACAAGAAATCTATATGCACTACTATTTTGTGCATAACCAATGAAAATACAGTCCACGGTTTTCGGACCTATCCTAACCCGCTTAGGTGTAGGTACCGCCACTTTTGCAAGACACCCTCACATTCGTAGGTATTTATATAAAGGCTTG